GATGTTGCTGATGTTGCTGATGTTGCTGATGTTGCTGATGTTGCTGATGTTGCTGATGTTGCTGATGTTGCTGATGTTGCTGATGTTGCTGATGTTGCTGATGTTGCTGATGTTGCTGATGTTGCTGATGTTGCTGATGTTGCTGATGTTGCTGATGTTGCTGATGCTGATGCTGATGCTGCTGCTGCTGCTACTGCTGATGTTGCCGCTGCTGATGCCGCTGCTGATGCTGGTGATGTTGCTGATGTTGCTGATGCTGATGCTGCTGATGTTGCCGCTGCTGATGCCGCTGCTGATGCTGGTGATGTTGCTGATGTTGCTGATGCTGATGCTGCTAATGCTACTGCTGATGCTGATGCTGCTGCTGCTGCTGCTGTTGCGGTTGCTACGACTGCGACGGCAGATGCCACACCACCAGCGGCACCACCCGTAAATCCGCTCCTCTCCTCGCACCACAAAATTTCCCTCGGCGACCGCAAAATCCACATCCCCTGGGCATCCGGCAAAACCTCCACCTTCCACCACATCTGGCTCCGCGACCACTGTCGATGTCCAGAATGCTTCAAATCCACCACAAAACAGCGATTAGTCGATACGTACTCTATACCCACCGATATCAAGCCTGAGAAAGCGGAGGGTGAAAAGGATGGGTTGGAAATTGAATGGAAGGATGGGCATAAGAGTTCGTATACGTGGGGGTGGTTGGTGAGACACTCGTATGCGCCGCAGATTGAGACGCCGTTTCATTCTCCGTAAGTTCTAGTCATTGCCGGAAGATTGTGAAGAGCATGATGCTAATCGGTATGTAGGAAACATCTTTGGGGATCGGAGATCAAGGAGAAGCCGCCTGTTGTTCAGTACGAAGATGTCATGAAAGGTGATGAGGGTGTTGCGAAATGGACCCACGAGATTGATTTATACGGTTTCTGTTATGTGGAAGGTGTCCCAACTACGCCGGAAGATACGCAGAAGTTGGTCGAGCGGATTGCGTTTATTAGACAAACCCATTGGGGCGGATTCTACGATTTCACATCTAATCTGGCCCATCACGACATGGCTTACACTAACCTCCCCCTTCCAGCACATACAGATAACACATATTTCACGGACCCCGCCGGTCTGCAGCTTTTCCATCTCTTGTCGTCCGATGGAGATGGTGGCAGCTCACTTCTCGTGGACGGCTTCAAGGCAGCGCGACAATTGAGGGACGAGCACCCGGAAGCATACAAGTTCTTGAGCAGCGTCCGAATTCCGGCGCACAGTGCAGGTGATGACGGAATATGTATCAGACCGTCTGTACCCAGTCTTGGGTTCCCCGTCTTCAACCACGACTCGCTGGCCGGCGATCTCTTCCAAGTCCGCTGGAACAATGAAGACCGCTCGACAATGTCCCAATGGTCCGACGTGGATGACGTCGAAGCCTTCTACGACGCCATCCGACACTGGAACGCCGTGATAACGAACCCCGAGAACGAGTATTGGGCACCATACGAACCTGGAAAGGCTGTGATTTTTGATAATTGGAGAGTGTTGCATGGGAGGTCGGCGTTTACGGGAAATAATCGGAGGCTGTGTGGGGCGTATATTGGGATGGATGACTTTAGAAGTCGGTTGAGGATGACCAATATGAAGGATGTGAAGGAGTGGTTGTGAGAGGCGGGACTATGACAATTGATATAGGACATGCATCTTTGACGTTGGTAGAATTCACTCAACTCAACGTAAGTTATTGTAGGCGGGCCCTGTAACGAAGACGTACTGGTTGGTGTTGACGACGTTACAGGTACCAAATCCATCTTCGGCAAATATCAGTACCGCACAACATGTCGGCCAAAAAATCGAGATGGGAAGACGAAGAGGAGGATCCGGCCGAGTTACAAAGACAACAGGAGGAGAAGGAGCGGAAGCGACGGTTGAAAGAAGAGAAGAGGAAGGCGAAGGAAGTTGCCCAAGAAGCTGCAAAGCGGGCGGCGGAAGAGGAGGAAGAGAGGGCGGCAAAACGAGAGAAGGTAGAAGAGGAGGTCGTCGAGGATGTGCGTCTACAGCTGCGATTTCCTACGCGCCATATCGAAAGCTGCCGGCATGTCGACTCATACGAGAAGCTGAACCATATTGAGGAAGGGTCATATGGTGTTGTCTTTCGTGCCAAGGACGTCGAGACTGGAGAGATCTATGCTCTGAAGAAGCTCAAATTGGAAAAGTATGTTCCCTGTGTCTTCAAGCTTGCCGCTAGTACTAACGGAAGACCTGTTACAGAGAGAAGAACGGGTTCCCTCTTACGTCTCTCCGCGAGATCACCACCCTTCTCGCCTGCCCTCACCCAAACATCGTCCGTCTTCGCGAAATCGTCCACGGCGATACCTCAAGCTCTATCTTCCTCGTCATGGAGTTTGTGCCCCACGACATCAGATCCATCCTGGAAGACAACAAAGAGCCATTCCTTATCAGTGAGGTGAAGACGCTGATGTTACAATTACTCAGCGCGACGGCGTACATGCACGATCGATGGATTATTCACCGAGATCTCAAGACGACGAATCTGTTAATGACGAACCGTGGAGAGTTAAAGGTTGCGGATTTCGGGTTGGCTAGGTATACGTCTGATCCGGCGCCAGCGTTGACACAGTTGGTTGTGACGCTGTGGTACCGTGCACCGGAGTTACTATTGGGCGCAAGGACGTATGGGACTGAAGTGGACGTCTGGTCAGTCGGATGTATCATGGCCGAGTTGGTCACGGGTCAACCATTGTTTCAGGGAAGGGGCGAACTGGACATGATCGGAAAAATCTTCAATACTCTCGGTCCACCAACGGATAGTATCTGGACAAGTTACCGCGACCTACAACACGCAAAGAGCATCACATTCCCCCCGCCAAGACCAGGCGTGGACGCCAAAACACTCCTACGCACCAAATTCCCAATGCTGACATCCGCGGGCGTGGATCTAATGTCTCAACTCCTCACCTTTGATCCGAAGAGGAGAATAACTGCGAAAGAGGCATTAGAGCATCCTTGGTTTGCGGAAGATCCTCGGCCAAAACATCCAGATATGTTTCCGAGTTTTCCTAGTAGGGCGAATGGGGAGAAGGTTAGGAAGGTGGTTAGTCCGAATGCTCCGGTTGTTGAGCATGGCATTGGGGCTGGTGGAACGGAAGGGCTGTTTGGGAATGGAGGGGAGGATATGGGTGCTGGTGGTGGGTTTCAGCTGAGGGTGACCTGAGAAGCGAGTTCGATTTGATTTTGCAAGGGAAAGCGATGTACGCGTGAGAAGGACAGCCGGGCAGTCTGCTTCAAAGGGCCGCTGCTATAGCATCTATAGGATCATGGGAGGTTGAGCGCGGACTGATAGAATGAGTGCAGAATGAATCTCAGTATAAACCTACAAACATTAGTAGCTAGAAGGAACCCATACCGTGCTTATTGCGGGATGAGATAAGATGGACTGCGGGGAGAGCCGACCCGGTCGGATGCCCACCACACCCAAAACCACCAAAGTGCACACCGTCGCAATGTGAACCCTCACTGTTTGATCAACCCCATTGCCAGAACCGTAATAACAAGAGAATGACTACGACACACCCGGGCACTGCCCTGATCACCGGTGCTGCCTCAGGAATTGGGAAAGCAACCGCCTTCGCCTTCGCAAAAGCCGGTGCCAATCTCGCACTCGCAGGTTGTTTGCCTGCTTGCCTCGTTACTCTCGAATAACCATGCTGACTCGGAATACAACAGACTACAACCTCGACCTTCTATGCCAGACCGCTGAGTCGATCCACTCCGCATACCCCTCATCACAGATTCTCACCCTCCAAGTTGACATCGCATCCGAAGACGCAATTCGCTCCATGATAACCCAGACTGTAGCAAAATACAGCACGATTGATTATGCGATTAACAATGCCGGTCGTGGGGGTCAGGCAGGCACCTCCCACGCACTGTCCTCCTCCGATTTCGATAGTTTGAACGCTGTCAACTATCGCGGAACCTGGCTGTGCGTGAAATACGAGATCGAGCAAATGCTAAAACAGCCCATTCGATCAGTGCCCGGCGGCTCAGGCGACGAACGTAGAGCGGTGCGTGGCTCAATCGTTAATGTCGCCTCTCAACTTGGTCTCGTCGGCCGCTCCTCTGCACCGATTTACGTCGCTTCCAAACATGCCGTAATTGGTTTCACGAAATGTGACGCGATCGACTACGCGAAAGACAAGATCCGGATTAACTGCGTTTGTCCTGGCGTTGTTGAGACGCCTATGACGGAGGGTGCATTTGAGGATGCGGTGAGTATTACGCCTATGGGGAGGAAGGGATTGCCGGAGGAGATTGCGGATGCGGTGGTGTTTTTGAGTGGAGAGAGTGGGAGCTTTTGTTGTGGCAGTGCGTTGGTTGTTGATGGAGGGTATGTTATCAATTGAAGGAGCTCCGGGTTAAGAGAACGTTCTCTGCCGCCCAAGAAATTGTGCAGAAACATATTTTGGGCAAATACTAAAACGTCCCAATCACCCAAGGTCTCAAATAAGCCCGTAATTCCGACCCCGTTCTCCTCCAAAATACCACCCAAACTCCCCGTACAAAACTAAAGGGAATGCCATGACAGCCCCGCCACTCTCCATCATCGGGAACAGGGCGATGCGAGACAAAGGATGAACATAAATCTGTCCTCAAAACTTAAGCTCAATCCTCCACCAGCTTCACCCTGACCCTTCGTTACACCCCACCGGCACCCCGCTGCAACCATACGTCACCTCCCTGGCCCCGCCTCCAACACTGCCACCACCAAGAAAACCCCAACAATCAAACAAACACCCAAATGTTCTTCTACGCATCCTCACCAAACCGCACATCCGCCTACTCCAACGACCACCGCCATTTCTACCGTGGCATGCGTACAGCCTCCTCCCTCTACGACCAAAACCTCGGACCCTTCGGAAACGCACCCGTCATCACCGGATCTGTGCCACGAAATGGAGGTGGGGGGCCGAGAGGAGGTGGGACTAGGGATTGGTATAACTGGGCGAACGCGGTGGAGCAGGCGACGGGGATGAGACCAGTATTGCCAGAAGATCGGGAGCAGAGGAGGAGAGGGCCCGGGGGTGGTGGGGGCCGTGTTGCGCCCCCGACTGCGAGGGATGCGAGTGTGTATTTTGATGATTCGGCTCCTCCACGTTCGCCGACGCAGTCGCAACAGCAGCAATATAGACCACCACCGGGACCCCCGCCTCAAGCACAGCGACAGGGACAGGTTCCGCACCGAGCTGTGAGATCGTTGGTCGATATCGCCTCAGCACCGTGTACCACACCCCGAGGGCCTGCACACCAGAGACCGGTACGATCGATGTTGGATGTTGAACCACCGGGGCCGCCGGGTGGGATGAATGATAATTCTGGGTTGGCACCGCCGCCGAGTTATGAGGAGGCGATGCATGAGGGGGCGGCGGATCCCAGACGGAGGAGATAGTGTGAAGAAGTGTAGGAGAGACTTGTGAGGATGAGGTCTACTCGGAGGCATGGTCAGGACGGTGTACGATATGAGTGTTTTAGACTTTCCTGGGGGTATATGTGTGTGTGTGTTTCGCGGTTGGGCTGGAGCCGGAGCCACAATGTTACGTTTCGATTTATATTGATTACCATGATTCAATTGCTTTTCCTTTGAACATGTCACAAGTTCGCGAAAATCAATCGTCTCGTCCAGAAACTATCAATTGCAATCATCACCAAAACCATTCGTCGTCAAATATCCATAGCTAATCCCCAAAAAGCGCTTAACGGCTGCTGTAACGACAGTTCGTAAAGAATCGTACCACCAAATGAATGTGAATCAAAGAACGCCTCGACCCGTATCCCTCCCATTGCCATCATACTTTCATGTATCTATCGTCATAAGAGACCCATCTCTATATCTTCCGCATCTACTACTCCTGGCTGGCCATGGCGGACAACTCCCCATCCTCCCCAAACTCAAAACTAACCTCCCCACTCTCCACCCCCTCCCCCTTCTCCATCCCCTCAAACCCCATCTCGAGCTCCTCCCCCTCCATCTCCTCCCCCCCCATCCCCTCCACAAACCGATTCCGTCCCCCCCTCTTCCCATGCGTCCGCCTATGCGCCTTCAAATTATCACTCCTCGAAAACCACTTATCGCACCCATCAACCTCACACCGAAACGGTTTCTCGGATGTATGGGTCCGCGCATGACGACGGACGTGTTCGAGGCGTTTGAAACGTTTTTGGCAGAGGGGGCAGATGTGGGTTTTGTCGAGGGAGGAGACGATGAGGGGGGGGTTTAGGGAGGATGGGGTGCGTTTGTGGGCGGAGGCGGGGGCGGAGGGGTGGCCGTGGCCGTGGCCGTGGGTGGGGGTTGTGTGGATTGAGGGTGTGTGCGCGTGGGTTGATACGTGGGTTGGTGTCGTGAGTACTGAGGGGGTCGATGACCATGGTGCCGTGTGCATCGCTTCATGCCTCGATGCACTCCTCGTATGCGACATTCTCAAGGGACCAGCCCTTGACGGCGTACGCATATGCCCTCTCATAACAGATCCCGGCATAGAAGGAGGAGGAGGAGGAGAGCCAGACCCGGATCCTGAGCCGGGACCAGAGGTGACGGGGCGGAGTGCCATCGCGGCCGCGGATTGGGATTCGGAAAAGGTTGTTGGGAGGGTCATGCTCCTACTCATTTTCTCCGCTGAAGGATTATGGTAGGCGGCGGTTTGTGGGAGGTGGGGAGGGGTGGGGAAGTAGAATCCTCCTTGTGGGTGGTGCGGGTGTTGTGGAGTCATCTGCTGTGGTGGTATGGGTGCGGTGTGAGCCGGTGATCCGTATCCGTAGGGTGAGTGTGGGATCATCTGTGGTATGGGGGAGGAGTAGAGGAGTGGTTGGTGTCCCATGATGCCCATGGGTGATTGTTGGATTGGTGTTGGTGGTTGTGGCGGGAATTGATAAGACATTTGTTGTTGTTGAGGCACCGCCGGCGGTGGCATCATCATTTGTTGCTGAGCATGGTGCTGCTGGTGAGCATGGTGTTGTGCAACCATCATCGGGTTCATAAGCCCAGGAACGATATTCTCAACCCCAATCTCCTCCTCCCCCTCCTCCTCCGCAAACGGAACAGGCGCACCATCGTACTTGGTCTTAATCACCGGTACATCCCCCGCGGGCGCGTCCTCAGCCGGTATACTCGTCGCCGGCGTAGGGAAATTCATCATCATATCCGGCGCAATCGTTCCCAAAACACTAGGCGTGATGGGCCCTTCTTCTTCGTCATCTTCTTCTTCTTCGGTAGATGTTGCTCCGCTATCCCGTCTTGGCTGGAAAGTTGGTGCCGGGGGTGGGATTTGGTAGTATGAAGTCAGGGTTGGAGCGTGAGCGTAGGCCGCTGCTGCTGCTGAGGTTGGGATACCGTAATTTTGTCCAGCAAGGAAGACTGCAGTTGCGGCGTTACCGAGGGAGGAGGATGAGTGGTGCCGTTTCAGGGGAGGAGGTGTAAGGAAGTGCGAGGAGGACATCCTGCGTCTTTGCTCACAGCCTGTTGGTCCTAAGTGTATATGACGCGTTGTATGTAACGTAGATAGGACTAAACAGTTGTCCCGAATGCCCGTTGGAGTATCAAGGGGGCGGTGTGGATGTTGTGCACGTTCGAAGGGGCTCCAGCGTCGACACGGGGTGTGGAGACAACTGTTGCGCGTTTGCCGTTATCGGAAGGTGATGAACGACCTTACGAGCGGAGAGTGTTGTTGTCGAAAGGAGGTGGTATATACTTTTCAAGTATACGACGCACGGGTTTTACGTCGAACGCGTGCCGGGTATGCTGGGTCAGTTGCAGTTGGGGATTGCGGTCAGGGTTCGCCGTGCAGCAGGAATGTGCGAGGTTTTGCACCGCAAACTCCGGGGTAGGGGAAGGAGGGTAATTGTAATTGGCTACGAGGTTTTTAAATGGGAGAATGATCTTGTGGGAGCAATCTCCGACGGGCATTGAGGACGGCTCCTTGCTTGGCCGTACCACTCGTTGCGTCTCACTAAAAAAAACTCTATTCAGAGGATAATCTCGACGATGTGACGAAGATATGTCTGAGGGGATATCTATGCAAGTAAATGAAAGATCCAAAGAACGCCGAAGAATGCCAAAATGAAACCAAAACCTTTCTCCCCCCCCCTCTCCTGCCTGCTCCACCCATCGGTCCCCGCGGCCTGACGGCAGCTCAGACTCAGTGCACGGCATCAGGCAACCTCTCAATCTGATACTTATGATTCCCCACAAACATAATCGGCACACCCGGAATCTTCCTCAACCTCCTCCTCAAATCCTGATCATTCGTCGCCACAATATAACACTTATGCATCATAACCCGATTCACCAAGCAATCATCCGCATACGTTCCCTTATGACTACACTTTATTCTCTCGAACCTCGGGTCCTTCGCGATACGGAGCGCGATACGGTATTTAGGACCGAGCTTTTCGAGTTCGGCGAGCACGCAGTCTGTGATGATTGGGATTGCTTTGGCGTAGAGGGTGTCCATCATGGAGGGGATGATGTCGAGTTTGTTGGAGATGGAGAAGTTGATGAAGTTTGTGTCGACGAGGACTTGGTAGGGTGGGACGAGGGAGGTGTTGTATTGGAGGAAGAGGGAGGAGGCGACTTGCGGGATTTCGCGGATGAGTTCTTGTTGCTTTTTCTTTTCGGCTTCTTCGCGCTCCTTCTTCTTCTCCTTGTCGGACTTGATGTCCTTAGGGTTGATGATTCGCTATGGCCCTGTCAGCACCCATCCCGTCGATCACCAAGGACGATGAGCGTACCTTCACCTGAGCGAACTTTCTCGTCTTCTTGGCCTTTGGCATCGTTGCTGTTTGTGTATTCCCTTTCCTTACTGTCCTGCTCTCCCTTCGCCGCTCCATGCGCTTTACGAAATTCTGCACCGCCCACTCGGCTGTGGCTGGTGCCCCATATCGATTACGAACTTGAGCGCACAGCTCCTCGGATCAACCAATTGCTCCTCCCGCCTCGGCCCTTCTTCGTCGAGGTTTTTATATAGCTTATGTTCCCTCGAACGCGTCCAATCCTACAGCTTTCCTTTATCCGCACCATGTCCATGGCCGCAATCCCCCTCGTCACCCCCGCCGCAATCCCCTCCTCGAACCCCGAATCAGCAGCCCTCAAAGCGCACCACCCCAAACCAGGCTCCAAACGCTTCGAGAATCCGTGGGATTCATTTACCGATCACTCGCTCTGGGATTTCTTCAAGTCCCGGTTCTTCTACGGTACAGAATGGCCGCGGCATCCAATCCCGACGCCCGAGGAGGGTCTTGTCTCTGTTACGCGAGATATTGACTGGGAGGGGCCGGAGGGGGAGAGAGAGAAGGCGAGAGCGGTATGGCTTGGGCACGCGTGTTTCTGGCTCAAGTTCCCTGCGCATGGAGGGGAGAGGGGGTTGAGGGTGTTGTTTGATCCGGTTTTCTCGGATAGATGTTCCCCGTTCTCGTTCATGGGTCCGAAACGCTACACCCCGCCGCCTTGTCCCATCTCCGCAGTCCCGACACCTGACGCGGTGGTGATCTCGCATAACCACTACGACCACCTCGACGTCGCGACGATCACATATCTCCGCGATAACACCTCGTGTCAATTCTTCATTCCCCTCGGTAACAAACAATGGCTCCTCGACTCCAAGATCCCCGGGTCACGAATTCAGGAACTTGATTGGTGGGATGAACTCGATCTCTCCGTCGAGGGCGTAGGGAGTGCCCGTGTGGGCTGCCTTCCCGCACAGCACTTTACTGGACGTGGGTTGGGAGATCGATACCACACCCTCTGGGCATCCTGGCAAATTCGTGACCTCACCGGCCCCAAGGGTGCAAATATCTATTTCGCTGGCGATACAGGCTACCGCGCAGTCCCCCGCCCCACCGACCCCACGGACCCAATCGACTCCATGGCCACCTCCAAACAAAACAAGGAAAAATTCCAGTCCCTCCCAACATGTCCTGCATTCCGCGAAATAGGAAACCACCGCGGTCCCTTCGATCTCGCACTCATCCCAGTCGGCGCCTACGACCCCCGGTACCTCATGTCCCCCGTCCACTGTTCGCCCGAGGATGCGGTAGAGGTGTTTAGGGACGTGCGAGCGAGGAAGGCCGTTGGGATGCATTGGGGAGCGTGGGTGTTGACGAGTGAGGAGGTTATGGAGCCGGTTGGGAGGTTGAGGGAGGCGATGAGGGGGGTGGAGGGGGAGTTTGGGGTTGTGGGGATTGGGGAGGGGGTTGATGTGGAGTAGCGGGGGAGTAGAGTGGGGTGGTATTTATCAGTAGTAGTGTTTAAGTGTCTAGAGAAAGTGTGAAGAGCTCGCACGTGTAACGAAAGGATACCTCAAGACATGGCCACTTTGTATGACGTCTAAACTACCCATGTCACGCCGTCCTTCACTCTGTCCATGGCTATGTCTGACCACGTGTCTATTTATGCCAAACGAACCCTTCTCTTACAGTTACCACCCCCCCATCAAATCCTCCTCATACACCAACCTCATCCTCTCCTCCTTGCTCTCCGTTCCCTCTTCCCCCTCCCCACTGACGTCGACCTCCTTACAGAAGAATGGTCTAATAACCTTCTCAGCGACCCCCTCAAACAAACCCTCCACAACCTCTCCAAGTTCTTTTCCCGTTTGCTTAAAATCCGGATACGAATTAACCTCCAACAACTCCACCCTAGGGACGCCAGTCCCCTCATCTCCTTCTGCTACGAGGAAGTCAAGTCCGAAAACCTCGAACGCGTTTGGGAGGGTTTGGAAGTGGATGCGTTGGCTGCCCACCGCAGCCTTGAACACCTCACCTACCACGGCGGCGATTTGGTCGTATATCGCATCTTTGTGTGGGAGGAGCGTTGAGGGTGACCAGAAACGGTGAACGGATCCAGCTTGTCTCTCACCTGATTGGAGACATGTGTTGGTCAAATGAGCCTCGAGTCCCAATCCATCTCCATCCTCTCCAGCTGCAGCTTTTGGGGGTGTATATGGTTCTGAAGCGCTCAACACCAAGATGTCCCGATAGACGTAGACGCGGAGTGCGTGGGCCGCGACGACATACACTCGTAGATGGAATTTGTGGTTTTGGCCGGTGGCGGGGAGGGAGAGGAGGAGGGGGTTTGGGAGGTAGCGTTGGACGACGAAGTGGCGGAGTTGGGAGGTGATGACGCCTGTGTCGGACTTGTCCTCTCCTGTTGTGGGGAAGGAGGAGGAGCCGTCGTCTTCGTCGTCGGACTCGGGTTCGAATTCTTGGAAGATTGATTCCAATGCGTCATAAGTACTGAACAACCGAATCCCCTGCCCGCGATCCGACATCCCGGGTTTCAAAATCCACCACTCCCTCCCCTCCTGCTCCCTCTCCTCATTCCCCTCCAAACTTTGTCTCAGCTCATACATCTCCTCCAACGCCTCATCCAAGTACTCCACATAATCCAACTCCAGGTGGTACGTCTCGGGCACATGTCTCCCCAACACGCTTTCCGGGTGTTTGACGAGCCAGGAGCTGACCGTGTTTGAGAGGTAATGTTTCCGGATGAGGGCTTTGCGGATGACGTAGGAACATGCTAGGGAGGTAGTTGGGTTTGATTGGATGTGGTCCCAGTCGATGGTTTCGTAGGCGGACCATTGGAGGTGGGAGGTGGGTTCGTCCGTTATCTCGACGTCCGGCTCATATTTCTGTAATGCTTTAATGATCTTTGGCTGTACGTAGCCCGTTGGGTCTTCGTAGTCGACGCACGCTGTGATGGTCATCTGTCTTGTACTTTGTGAAGAAGGTGTTGTAGCGCGCGGGTCGGTCGATACCGTCAAGGACGTCAAGTTCTCTCACAGCTAACCACCAAAATGGGCATATTCGCAAGGAAGACAAGTTGGACGCCCGAGCAGATCCCTGATCAGACGGGGAAGGTCGTGGTCGTGACTGGCGGAAATGCCGTACGCCTCACCCCTCCTCTCCGATCGCGAAATGGTTGCATCTGACAATGAAAGTAGGGTATTGGTTATGTAACCTGCAAACACATCGCCCGCCGCGGGGCCAGGATCTACATCGCTTCCCGCTCCCTCGACCGCACCCTCCCCGCCATCGCCTCACTAAAGGAAGAAACGGGGAACGAGAACATCCACCACCTCCCCCTCGACCTAACCTCCCTCTCCTCCATCCGCTCCGCCGCTACCACATTCCTCGGCTCAGAATCCCGTTTGGACATTTTGATCAATAATGCCGGTATCATGCTCACACCGTATGGGTTGACAAAAGACGGCTACGAACTCCAATTCGGGACGAATCACGTGGGACATTACGCGTTTACGCATCTCCTCCTCCCTACGCTCCTCCGTACCGCTGCACTCCCCGACTCCATACCTGGCTCCGTTCGCGTGGTCAGTATTGCGAGCGAGGGTCACCGTGGTGCGCCGTCGTGTGGAATTGATTTTGGGGACGTGAATCTGGAAAAATCGAATCCCGCAACTCGCTACGGACAATCCAAACTCGCCAACATCCTGCACGCACGCGCACTCCACAACCACTACCACGCATCCCCAGGCTCTCCAATTTTCGTGTCCGTCCATCCCGGCGTGATCTACACTGATCTCTACAAAGAACTCTCCGGTCCGGGCGTTGTCTCGACTCTTCTTTCTCCGTTTATGTGGCTAGCGAAAAAGTCTCCGCTATTTATATCGTTGGAGGAGGGAGCCTGGACGCAGTTGTATGCCGCTACGGCCCCGGGGGTGGAGAGTGGAAGTTATTTGGAGGCGTTGTGCAGTGTGGGGACGCCGACGAGACAGGGGAGGGATGAGGGGTTGGCGGAGAAGCTTTGGGAGTGGAGTTTGGCGGAGCTGGAGAGGCATGGGATCAAGGCGGATGCGGAGGCGAAGCCAACGCCGGGGCTGGCCGAGGAGGAGTAAGGTTGTTGTTGAGTAGGCCTATTGTCTGTTCTACCACGTTCCCTGTAAACATCTACCCTCCTTTTCCATGTTGACTAGTATAGCCTCCGCTTCATCCCGCCCTTCACTCCCACCCACTTCCTCGCCATGATCAACATGCACACCTCTCTGGAAAATCTCGATGAGCGCTTGTGGCATCTTTCCCGAACTACCACACACATAGACATATCCGCCTTCTTTCCGAAGCTAGGTATCCACGCGGCGCCATTCCCGGCCCAGAGCGTGCTGAACGTAGAATTTGGAGTTATCGGGGGTGTCGCGGGAGAATGCGAGTGATAGACTCAGTTGGTGAACTGCAGCATACGGTTCCTATCCAGAGTGGAGGAGGAAATCCTTTTCGCGTTGCCGGTTTCCGAAGACGAGGAGTTGTTCGGTCGCGTCGGAGCCGCTCGCAATACGGTCTTGGATGAGTGCACGCATGGGCGCGATGCCCGTCCCGGGTGCAACCATGACGCACTTCGCACCCGGCGGTGGGGGTATCATTGCGCCACGGATCAATCCCGTCGTGAGCTGTGTTCCCGGTTTCAGTGAACGAAGCCAGCGAGATGCGATGCCGACCCGTGGGGTATGCATGGATGTCTTGTAATCCACAATTGCTGCCAGAATTTGTGCTTCACCCGGATGCATCTTCAACGAGGATGCAAGACTGTACTGCCTGGGCTTCAGCACTGGGAAGAGATCCAGGACGTAATCGATGGGTATCGACAGTGTTTCCTTGACATCGGCGAGGACTTCGAGGATGTTCCGGCGTGGTCGGGTGGTGTAGTCCCATAGATCTTCTTGGTTGCCAACGTTCTGAGCGTGCATGGTGTCGGTAAAGGCGGGTTGTTGTCGTCCTTCAGTTTCCGACGGATGTTGAGTAGAGTGTCGGCTATGTCCTGCCACTTGCATACCTCGATGAGATGTTCCACCTCACTGGGGGTTCTCTGGCCGTAAGACTGCGATGTCACCCGGGTCATGTGTTAAGTCAGGAGAGGGAATGGAGAGAACAACGCGCCGTACATCCTGCCAGTGATCATCTGCTGAGATCCGATCATTCTTGGTGACAGTCGCTGAGAATGTCACACCTGACCTAATTGGCGCCGCAGTTTTGTCACCGAGAGCATGCTTTCCAAAGGAAATAGCATATGTATGTGAAAGGAGACAGTCATTCGGAATTGGTGTCAACCCCAAAGGTAGAGGCATCTCAGCTTCCATCACTTGTCGCAGATCCTTTAACCACAGCCTTAACCCAGCATCAATGCCTTGGGGATGACTTTCGTCTCCTTCACCTCTCTCCACCATGGGTCGTGCACCAAGCTGTATTAACCGTCTGTATAGCTTCTTTGCAGTGATTATATTTGGGATAGCTGGAGTCACCAAGTCCAAACAGAGCAAATGAGAGGTGGTACAGTAGGGTTGGGGGTAGAGATTGTCGCAGGAATTGCTTCATGTTGTCGGGAATGTCACCTTGCCCTGTGGTTGACGCAACAAAGATGACGCAGTTTTCATTCATCTTCCGGTTCATGTAAGTGAAGGTCATTCAAGAAACAGCAAGGAGAACATACCAAATCACACTGATCCATGGCACAAACTCTTCTCTTGATATGCATTCGCTCTAGCAATCTTCCAATACCATGCGCAATGTCCTCAGCATTTCCCGTTTGGCTTGCATAGAGAACCAAGCAAGATCTTTCTTCCTCATGGTCTTCGTGTGACAATTGCGTTTATCCTCGATGCTGGTCTATTAAGGTGTGCGGCTATCGCTATGAGCGTCGCCAGGTAGGTGCACCGTCGGCTTCATAATGGAACCTTTTGCGACCATTACTGCACTCCCACGCAAGTAAACCCTCTTTTTCACAGGATCCCACTCAACCTCAATCTCCCCCGTTCTCGGTCCACCCTGCGTCGCCCTAACAACCCTCTTCCCCAACTTGTCGATCCAATATGGCCCGAGCATACAATGTGCTGATCCTGTAACTGGATCCTCATCGACGCCACTCAATGGGAAAAACCCACGAGAGTGGAAATCGAGACCAGGTACACGGGCTGCGGTAGTGATGATTACGCCGCGTGCTTGGAAGTGTTTCAGAGCGGAGATGTCGACGGGGAGGGACTGGAGCCCATGAGCGGTGGAGTCGATTTCTATAAGGTAGTCGACGCGGTTTCGCGCGATATTGAGGATCTTCGTATCTGGTAACGCAACTTCGAGTACTCCCTCAAGATGTGCTTGTTCTTCAAGAGAACTGAAGGGTTTGGCGCCGACGAGTTCTTCGGGGAAGTCAAGTTCTATTAGATCTCCTCTCTTTGTCGCAATCAGTGCTCCGGATTTGGTATGGAAGGTGAGGGAGGAGGAGTCCTCGTTTCGAGTGGAGAAGAGAACGTGTGCAGAAGCGAGGGTTGCGTGGCCGCAGAGATCGACTTCAGTGGTTGGAGTGAACCAACGTAGGTGAAAGAAATCGTTGCCGGAGGTGTGGAAAGGAATGAGAAAAGCTGTTTCTGAAAGGTTGAATTCTCTGTGGATAGATACGTTAGACAACATCGAACGAGTATGAGCGACTTTGATACACACCGTGCGATATTGAGGAGAAAGCTGTCTTCGGGATATTCGTCAGTATCGAGAACGATTACGGCAGCTGGATTGCCGGCGAAGGGCTTCGAGGTGAAGGCATCGATGATCTGGTAGTCGAGGGAAACCATTGTCGTTTGCTGATCCAAACCGCTCCTGAAGGAAGACGCCGGGGGTATAGAGCCGCTGCTGAGATCAGTGACGTATTCTGAAAGATCTTAGAAGCAGGCGATTGACGCGGTATGGGTAAGAGACTGAATGGGATGGTTTTACGCGCCGCTCGGATTCTCTCGCTCGTTGTAACGACTCATACACTATTCCCGATCCGGGCAGGATGAGGTAACGTAGACTGTAACGTAGACGTCGACAAGACGTGCGCTGCGTGAAACGTTAACAATTCGACCCCCTCACAAACAACAACGATAACCATGTCTACTCACTTTGCGGGCGACATCAGGGTCATCAGCAAGGGGCGATAGACGTGATGGACTACTTGAAAAACAAACCAGATGTCCAATTGGTAGGGGTTTTAGTGCCTTGCCAATTTACACCTCGGCAGAGCCATTTGCACAATCCTGTCTTGGATGACGCGTTGTGTTTCTTTATATGTGAGCCGCCGCTAGGGTTTTCAACAGATGAGAGGAAAACACACAGAGACGAAGTAGATTGGTTTTATGATGCCCCAGCTGGGTTTTTGAGAGAGAACATAGCTTGTTGGCGCATCACCGAATCATTTGGTCTTTTTTGAGGTGTCGAAGTGGGTCCGTGAAGGAGTATACAGATGGGAGTGGTTATCGGGAGTGGGCACGGTTCTTCAACACGCATTTTCATGATGCTAATGCAACACTCACCGGAGGAAGGAACTCTGTTATGACGAATCCAGCTTATCCTACCCAGCCCCACATCTTGAACCCAGAAGGGAGAATGAAGAGCAAAACAACCAAGACCATGAAACCAGGCCAGAGGAGGGGATGTATGAGGTATGAAACGTACGAGGTATGGTACGGACTGAGGACCTATCAAAAGCCCTTTGGTTTCACGTACTTAATAGGTATACTGCCCATGCTACGTCAATTTCAACGGTATCTTCCCTCGTTGACCGGTGCGCACCGACCATCAACTACGCTTGTCAAAAATCAAGAGCAACCCAAAACTCCTGGACATAAAATACCAATCCCAAGACTTGCACCCAAAGACTCGCTTATCCAAGGAACATCTTAGTTTCCCTTCCCATCGACAACATCGCTATTCGGCACCTTCTCCCACGCCTCATCAAACCCGATCCCACTATGATCCCAATCCTTATCCTTTTCCGGGAACAACCCATCAACAACCATCTGCGCAACCTTCAAATACATCGTATCCGGCACAGCCGACGGCGTCTTCGAGGTCAAGCTCGAGGAGGAAGCAGCAGAGTGAGAAGCGTAATGATCCGCGTGAAGGAGTGCACGAATGGCTTTCATGACGTGTCCGTCCGTGTGATGCAAACTCTTCTCCACGATACCCAGCCAAGGATTGCCCACGACCTCTGTTCCATTCATCTCAGGTACGGGGTAGGATTCGACCAGATCGAGGTTCAGCGGAGGTCGACCGCGTGAGATGTAGTACATCAAATCAACACTCCACTTCGCCTCTAACATCCTCCTCCCCTGCTCCACATCCAAAACTTTCACAATAATCGGTAAAAACAGTGAAGACGTAACGGCATGCATGAGGAAGAAATCCATCTTGACGGCTTTGCCCGGGCGGAGGGAGGACCCGCCGAGGAGGGCTACAGGGACTTGTTGGAGGGAGCGCCAGGCGAGTTCGACGGCGTCGCGGTTCGTGGGGACGGACCATTTTGCGGCGTATTTGCGGACGAGGTCGGGGGTGCGGGAGAGAAGTGCGTTACTCTTGTTACCGTCGTCGTATTTCACCGCCGCGTCAAACCCCTTCTCTTCCCTCACCTGCTGGATGATCTCAAGAGGACTCGAGGAAGAAGCGTGAGGGATAGGTGGGAGTAGGAGGGGTCCCATACGCGCCGAGTGCACAGCGGCTTGAGCGAGGCCTTCGGCCATGATGAGTGGATCGTCGAATTCGAGGGCGTAGCCGGTGTGAATGAACGGGTGATAAGCGCCGGAGAACCAGCGGGCGAAAAAGTCTTCGTAGACGTCTTTCCCCATTGCCTTGTCGCCATTTGGAAGTTCGCCAAAGACCCATTCTTTGAAGACTTTAACGTGGTTCCCTGCGGATTGAATTTCTTGGGTGAAGAAGTCGAGGTAGTCGGGGTACCATTCCTCATCACCTAGATGTTGCGCAAAGGTCTGGCGAGTGATTCCTTCTCCTTCGCCCCGTTCATGGCGTTTGGGCATGGGCTTTTGGTAGGATGCTTCATGCTCGTAGATGCGCTGGAGGTGAGTGGTGGAGGCGCCGAGGGAGTGCGCGGCGTAGATATAGTGGGAGAGATGGTTGTGGAGACCAGCCGGGGTCTTGAAGAAAATGTGGTGTTTTTCATGGTTCTCGCGGATCATGTCACGGACCTTCTGTTGTGAGGTCGAAGTAATTCCAGGGAGGTGGAAGGTGCCTGGTTGGTGGATCGAGGGCAAAGAAGAGGTGGACATGCTGGAGTTTCTCGTTCGTCGCAGTGTTGGAGTTGAAGATGAAGACAGGATTGATCGCAATTGGATCAGACGCAGGGTAGGGATCATGGTTCTTCCAATTGGCCATGGTGGAGAGGTCCGTGGTTTATCTGTGGGGAGACCCGCGGGGAGGCATGACGATGTGTGCTGGTGTGCGCGGGCCGCCGACGACGTCTTGGGATTTTGGTCAGCTGGTATCTTGAATTTGAAGGAGCCTTGGTGGTTTAATTCATATCTAAATGACAGGTAGTTGAATTCACAGTACACGCTGTCCGATTCGACATTCCTGACAACAATGGACAAGCTCAAGCACAAACTCGAGTCAACCTTCTCCCACGATCCCACCTCCACCTCCTCAACCGTACAGCACCAAGACGGTTCAGCATCCGCCGCTGGCGGCTCCTCCTGGACTTGCGGTACAGAGGGCGCCCAGCAGGACCAACCCACCACCTCCGCTTCCTCCGACCCGCAGGAATATCGTAAGCAGCATCCTAGACATATACCCACATATCTCAAAGGATAAGACTAACAGAGGTATCCTAGGTGAGAGTCAAGGTGAAGGGGAAACTGAAGGAGGAGCGCACTACCAGTATGGAGAGCCGCGGACGACGGAGCAGGCGAAGAGGGAGGGGGAGAGGTATATGGAGAATTTCGATCTTTAGGGGGCGCGGCTTCTGAGTAGTTGATTAAGATATCATTAAAGCTGTTGGAAAAGCTCAAGGACTTGGTGTTATAATTCTGACCGCTTCGGGAACTTGTAGGGCACTAGCAGCGTTCTCACGGCTCTTTGAGGTATACCTAGACGGCATATGAATTGGGCCTAGGCAGAGATGAAAGTCCCAATTCCTAAGCTCCGACATGGTTCTTGTCATCATCTTCAAATTTGGTCGGCAATTTTTGCCTTGATCATGTCCTTTGCTTGGCATGCGGAGAATCGAGATCTGCTCCGCGCCCCGGCAGTTGAGACCCTGGCACTCAACACTGTTTATTGACCTTGCAGCAGATGACCTGCGCGTGTGCGATTTGCCGAGAATATCAAGGATCTACACTCTTGGTCACGTACGTCACACCGTAACCCTTCCACCATGGCCATCCTGATTCCTACATAACGGCCCCCGCTTCCTTACGTCCTCTCCTCCCATCACATCTAACCCCCTACCCACGTAAACACCAAACACCACACACAATGGACGCACTCAAATCCAAACTCGGCTCCGCCATTGGAAAAGACCTCGGTGGATCCCAAGGTCCTGGGTCTAGCACCGGACAAGACGTTTCTGGTTCTGGTACTTCTGCCAATACAAACACCGGGACTGGCACTCAAACTGGTACCGGTACGGGAGGTTTGCAGGGGTTTGAGAATAAAGGTACGTACAAGGAGTGTGGACGACGGGTACGAGGGTGAGGATGTAGGCTAATTGGGGTGGTGCGGATAGAATTGGGGAGTTTCGAGCAGAGGGAGGGGTTACCGGATAATCAGCAAGTTAATTCGGAGATTGAGAGGGAGTTGTAACTTGTTGATCCTTCTCCCATCATCTGGGAGGTGATTAATGTTTTGGTATGTTTTAGGATAGGGTATTCGTAAGTGAAATGATTACCAGGTCTTGGGCGGGACCTCGACGTCCTTGCTCGTGTCCAATTCCTCGAATCTCCTTAGGTCCATAGGTTCAGCCAAGAGCGGGACCACGTACGGATCGAACGTCTTCCAGTACCTATCCACACCCAATTAGCTCCCACTCTCACCCTTCCTCCATAGATCAATACGCACGGGTTGTTAAGGTGATACTCCTGCGAACTTTCCCTCTCATACCTCTCCACAATACAAAACTTGGTAGGATCAGCGGTGTCACGCATGACGTGCCAATCGATTGTCTCCTTGTCCTGGCGGTAGATCCGGGATGCTTCGATGAGTTTGAGGGAGAGGGTTTCGGCGTGTTGGGGGAGGGCGCGGAGGTGGACGACGATTGTGTAGACCATTGTGAACGGAGCTATGGCAGAAGCTGAATGGATCGAAAGTGGGGGACGGTGATCAATTGATGAGCGTGATGGAGGTTAGGTGTGACGGGAAGCGTAGTGGACGGAATAACGTTTCCCCGCGTGGGCCATCGGTGGGTGTTCCGACGCTACATAGGCCAGTGTTGGGGAGATCATCAGAGTTGAACGGGAGGTCCAATTTCCAAAAGACACAAGATCCATCTGCCGAGATCACCCAATTGGCCAAGTCCCATGACGTTGCTTACCTGCACCCGCGCCGTCATGCGCAACGACACGGCCAGGCTGTCTCTCCGCACAAAATCCTCATATACCGGTATACCGTAACCACCAAAACCATAACCAGTTGCAATTGATCCATACCACAAGCAATTGCAGTCAGTCACAATGTCAGATCAACCCAGTGTACCACCCCGCCCATCCCGCCGTCCAGGCCGGGAATCGTCACCCTCGTCATCTGCCAGTCTTCCGGCTATCCCTCCCCGCCCTTCACGTTCGAGGTCTCCGCTTCCGCACAAAGCTTCGAGTCCTCTGAACCCAGGTGCTGGATTCGTTCATACGCCGCCTATTCCCGCCCGTCCCAATCGCGCACACAACAAATCACCTCTTCCGGCCGAGGTTGCGAGTCCGCTCGATCCTGGGCGCGGAACGGTTAGTACGCCTGCGGATGAGAAGACTGAGGCTAGTGCAGCTTTGGAGGTCCCGGGGGTTCCGAAGAGGCCGAAGGTGTTGAGGACGCCGAGTGGGAGGCCGTTGGCGCCTGTTGTTGGGGGCGAGGAAGAGGGGCATGGACATGGACCGGCTGTTTCTTCTCCGCGTCCGCAGCGTGCGCAGCGGCCCACCGGCACCAGTGAAGATCGGAACAAGAGCCGTACCCGCAGCCCGCTCCCGAGTCCCCTCCCCGAGTTGCGTGAAGATGAGCCCGCTGCTCCACTCGATCAGACAACGGCTTTGTCTGCCGCGAATCTTCCGCAGACGCCCGCGTTTAAGATCAGGAAGGAGAGTACGGCTGATTCTGTCCGTTCGCATGCGTCCATTGGAGACGTTATCCGCGCTGGACGTGGAAGGAGGTTTAGTGTCGAAAGCGCTGTTACGACTGGGAGTAGTATTAAGGGTCAAGAAACGGAGGGCGAGGATGAGCATGAACATGATCAAGAGGAAGATAAGGAGAATGATAGTGGAAACGGCGATGAACAGGAGATGAAGAGGGATGCGACCCAGCTCTTTGGGGGGAATTTGGCGGAGAACATCACCCACGCTACCGCGGATACCAAAACCGAGAACCGTGGGCCTGTAGCGCAGGAGACTGGTGAAACTCAAGAAGCCGTTAAGGATTTCTTTGGGAAGGATTTGACGGAGGAGGAAAGCGAAGTTGTTGAAGCCGCTGCCCGTGGAAAAGAGTCACCCCGTCCCGAGGAAGCCGGAAATGCGGCTGCGGATATGCAGGGTCGTGATACGCCCATTGACGAGGATAAGAATATTGAGCCGGGGCAGAGTCAGAGGGCGAGGAGGGGGTCTACGACGACGGGGGAGACGAGTCCCACGCCGGTTCCGACGCCAAGGGCGAGGAGAGGTTCCGTTGCTGCTGTAGCGGGTGAGGATGAGCCGAGCGCCGCGGAGAAGCCCAGGCGCGGGAGTCTCCACCCGGAGACTGGGGAAATTCAGCCCCCGTCTGAAGCGGAGTTATTGGCGAAGAAGACGCCTCACCACGAGCATTCGTCCACTGCCGAGTTGCGACGTGAGTCCATGTCGATCGATGAGGATAAGTTGCCGAAGGCGGTTAAGGAGGTGCGAAAGAGTTTCTCGGAGGGCGAGATTGTTGGGGATGAGGTTGCTGTTGCGGAACATCGTGAGGGTCTCCTTGGTGATGATGGGAAGAAGGGAGCAGAAGAGTTGGGCGCCGTTTTTGAGGATGAGGAGGCGGAGGAGGCGGCGGAGGAGGAGGATAAGGCTGATGAGGAGCAGAAGCAGAAAGAGGATGGAGATGGGGGGGAAGATATGGAGAAGGTGAACGAGGGGGAGTATAGGTCTCATTCGACGGATCCGCATCATACGACGCATAAGCCTGATCCTGGGCATGAGGTTAAGTATGGAAAGGAGATTTGGGAGGGGCCGGGGAAGACTGAGGCCGAAGAAGTTAGGGAGGTGAAGGAGCATCTGAGTACACCTGTTCAGGAACCCACTGATCCAATTTTGGCGCATAAGCCGCCTGTGGAAGGTGAGGTGCGTAGCGAACTCGAGAGAGCTGGGACGAGTGCGACGAGGGGTGAGGTTTTTGAGCCTGGACGTACGCAATCTCCTCTCCTCGCTGAGCCGAAGAAGGAAGGTGAAGTCTGGAAGGGAAAGCCTGTCGTTCCGCCCAGACCTGCCAGTGGTCGTGTCCCTGTCCGTGGTGGACCGGGTAAGATCTCGGCGTTGAGGGCGAATTTGGAGAATAAGTTGAATTTGGGCGCTGGTGGGGGGTTGTTTGGAGGGCCACCGCCCGTGAAGCCGAAACCTGCACCGAAGCCTGTTGAGGCTGAGGGTGAGGAGGAGGAGAAGAAGGATACGTTGGGCGATGTGCGGAAGGGACGGGCGAGGGGACCGGCGAGGCGGAAGCCGGTGGAGAAGAAAGAGGAGAAGGGTGGGTTTGCGATTTCGGAGATCGTCACTATTCTCAACATTCCCGGGAGCTCGAGCAGTGATGCTACAGGTACGAGAAGTCGGAGCGATAGTGTCGATTCTGAGACGCAGACAGGGGAGATTAAAGTCGAGATGGGCGGGAGGCGGATGAGCATCTATCGTGGAGCTGGGATCAAGGGTGATGACGTCGTTGTTGAGGACAAGGATGATGTGAGTGAGGAAACCACGCCGAAACCTGAGGAGAAGACGGAGATTGCTGCGGGCGAGGCAGAGGCAGAGGCGAAATCGGAGGCGCAACCTCAAAGTGCAATCGAGGATGATGACGAGAAGGAAGTCGTTCCCGTGGTTGCTCTGACTGAGCCTTTGGATGAACAGACGCATGAGGAGGTTGAGAAGGAGATTGAGGAGGCACCTGGTGCATTCCCTGCCGCGGCTGCCAAGGATACCGTCGGCGCGGAAGGTGTAAAGGCTGGAGACGGGGAGCAGACCGCTTGATTGGAGTTGTCGCTTGGACAGGGAGAGGGACCTGTCATGTCTTGCAATGTGGGCGGACATGGATGCTGTTTTGGCGACGTCGACTTTTTCGGACGACATTAAACTTCATTTCTACGATATCCAGATTGAACTTTGCACAGTTATAGCTACTCACAATTAGGTTTTGCATGAAACATATCATGATCGGACCTCAGGATTGAACGCACGCAATAAGCACCAGCGACCCACAACACCCTCCCTACCTTTGTGAAGATCGATTCCAAACGCTCTTGTTAGCCTGAAAACCAGATTTGTAATCTCTCGATATGACAGTACCCAGTTGGCTTGTATTTGCCGAATGGGGTTAGCGTCGTATGAGTCGTGTAACGTAGTCTCTCCGGGCCCGAGAATAATGACCTGATCCCGCCGGCTAAACTTCACACCATGCAACGTGAGGTTAAAATCGCCTTGGGATGGTCAGTATTACTCTTCTCTTACTCCAGAGGCTGTATCTAGGGGCTCCTTACTAATGGTACATCGACAGACTGTAACATATTCCCCGGCGAACTGGAGAACTTTGCTCTGGCTTCTTTACGTCATCACCGAAGGGGAGCATATCTCGTCTCGCCGGGATCCCCGAGAGGAGAAAGTGCTGTCGAAGGACCAGGGAAAAGTTCAAAAGTTTTTGTCTGCCGTGCCGTGGTTGTTTGTGGATGGCGAGTTCTGTCAAGGCGTTGCGGCGACCTTCGCGCTGAGGGTTGTGGACGGGAGAGTAGTGCCCGTCGTCCAGTTATATCAGGATACCCCACCAGGAAAGGAGAAGAAAGGATTGGAGAGGTCTAAGAAGTATACATCAAGACTTCTGGAGATACTACGCGGCATTTCCCTCGACACAAATGATCATGTTGTCGTCGCTGCATGTACGGCCAGACTGAAGGCAATGACTCACAAGCACAGCCAACCTCTCACATGCAGGCGAATCGCCCGAGGTGCTAGTATGTGGCAGAACATGCGAAATAAATGGATGGGAATGAGCGTGGAAGAACTTCAAGACTATTCTCGCAGCTGGACCCCGTGGACGAGCAAGCCGAAGGGAGTGGAGTTGCCGGATTATGGCGAAGACAGCGTTAGTGACTGGCATATCTATTTCATGCAAAAGCTTGACAAAATCCTATTGGAGACTGAGGGGATTGATTCGCCGCAGAGAAGTGGTTCTGGGAGCTCCGTGAAGGTGTCGATCATGATGGACGCCGTGAGTCTAGCAGACCCTGCCGGCCTTTTCTGGCGACACATGCAAAACGGAGCTGTGCGAGGCGCATTCCGAGACCATGCAGACGTGCCAACAACGGAGGACTGTAACGGAGTCGATACTTTGCCTACCGGAATAGAGGCAGGCACGTCAACGGATCCGTTGGATGACATGAGTGAGAACGACTTTCTAGAACGGCTAATGGATCTGTATCACCTCCGTGACCAACACGATCGGTTCTGTACCAGAAGAACATACAGAATACTACCCCAGCAGTTGCAAGAGCTTGTATTGGCGCTTTCCCGGATAGCCTGGGCTTGGCTCATGGCTGAGGAGATGAAGGGGTATATTGTGAGATATCCCAAGCTTGCAAGGAACATCGTATTCACATGGGAAGACCATGACGTTGGGATAGGTGAACGTGCAGAAATAGCCGGGGACGACGAGCGTTACGTTGCGTGGGAACATCTGGTCCGGCAGGTCGCACTGTCGAGGAATCACAGTGAACGAATCGCCGAAAACATGGTTGACGATCTACGCGTCAAATTCCGTACTCTAGGGTTGAATGATCGGCCCCCTGAAGACACAGTCAGTGCCAAGCATGCTGAAATCGCTGCATTTGAAGCACTCCGCAAAGGTCGCATCCACGCTGAACGCATCATCGGCCTCTCTAACCCTTCCAGCTACGCGTGTGGCCTCGTCTTTGACGCCGTTAACGCACGGCTGAAACACTCTGAACGTTACGCAGTGACCTCTCGAAGCGGGCACGTACAACTCACTGAACCGCCAGATGTCGATGCTGGAAGCATGCAAAGAGCCACGAATAAATTGTGCGAGACCCTGATGAATCAGATCGAGATGAAGCTGGCAGAGGATGATGATGAGGACGACGATGACGAGGACGAAGAGGGAACGGCAAGTGAAGTAGAGAGAACCATGCAAAAGATGGATGCGTTGCTCAAGAAGATGAGCGGGGATAAGAGGATTAAGAAATAGACGCAGCACGATAAGGATAGACGATACGGATATAGACATAGAACAAGATGAATGACTCTACTCACACCGCCAACTCCTCTACACTCTGCACCACCTGTCCGATTTTATCGGTTTGCACATCTACCAGCACCCTCTCCTTCACCTCCATCCCAGCCCCAAGTTCCCTCCTCAACTCCCCCAACCCCCTCGGACACCCCTGCGGCACCCTCATAAACCCTTCAAAAAACTCCTCCACACGATCGGTGTCCTCCAACTCACCCACAAACGCTACATAACCATCAGGCCTCAACACGACAAGACATCCCTTCTCGCGATCGATACCGTAGAAATCGTAAGCGTGACCGTGTCCCTCGTGGTAGGATGCGTCGTCGACGTAGAGGGAGTTGTAAGTACGGCGGAGAGCTGGAGGGAAGGAGAACCACTCCACTTCGGCGCGAGGGGCGGAGTGAATTGAGAGAGTGTCGAAGAGGGCGTCGACTGGGAGGGCTGGGGGAGTGTATCGTCGCCAGGGCGAGTTCTCGGAATCGAGCCAGGTGGCTAAAGCTTGGATTCGGGATATTTGGGAGGCGGAGCGCGGGTCGCCGAGGAAAGGGACGATACGCCATTTTCCGGTTGATTTAAGGAGCTCGTTGAGGTGCCATGGTCTGGCATCGCTGTGGTTCAAGACCTTCGTACTTGGAACACGCTGTCCGGGCAGGATCTTGGTACTCAACCCAGTCCTCGAGACGGTTCTGACACCAGCAGCGGAAGGGTCATCGGTATCCTCAGGCTCAGCATACTGCGGCACCGCTTTCCCATCCTTCGCAACAATCGCCGAAGGCCCATAATCCACCGCTGTCCCACTCGCAAACAAATTCCCCTTCTCAAACACCTTCTTAAACTCCTCCAACGAAATCCCCATATCATCTCCATTCTTCGCGGGTTTTCCGGAGAACAGACGTGAGAACTTGTGATCGAAGGCGATGAGGTCTCGTGCGATGAGACGGCGTTCGGATTCGTAGGTGGAGAGGATGGAGGGGGTGGAGTAACCGAGGACTGCGTGAGCGATTTTCCAGGCGAGGTTGTAGGTGTCCATCATGGAGGTGTTCATACCTTGTCCGGCTTTGGGAGAGTGGGTGTGGCATGCGTCACCGGCAATGAAGACGCGAGGATGTTGCTCGCCTTGGGCTGCAGTAGCATCGACATTGGTGAATCTGTCGGTTACACGCTGGCCGATCTGGTAGGCCGTGAACCATTCGATGTCTTCCATTTCGAGGGTGTAGGGCCTCACGATCTTTTGCGCGGCTTTGAGGATCATGTCGGCTGTGATTTTACTACGGTCCACTCTCTTCTTTTGCCCGTCGACTTCGACATCGAGTTCTGCCAACTGAATGTACAGACGTACGACTCCACGTTCGCGAGGGATGACCATGACACTCCCACTCCCCTCGGAATGAATCGCACACCTCATCCTGATATCTGGAAAGTCGGTAATGGGCACGCCGTCGAGCACGCCCCAAATATAATCAGTCTGTTCTCCGTGCATTTGGGCACCGATTTGTGCGCGGGTCCAGGAGTGTGCGCCGTCGCAGCCAATAACGTACTTTGCGTTGATGATCTCGCTATCGCCGGTGCGTTCGGCGGAGGGAGCGTCGGAGACGTCGCCTTCGGTTGCGACTTGACGGAAGAGACCGCTTGCGACGTTGGAGCCGAACTGTGACGGGGTACTCTCTTGCAAAGACAAGTGGCGGACTTGGAGCTTGACTGGGTAGTCGGAGTCCGTGGAGGAAGAAGAAGGGGAGATGGTGAGGGATTCCGGGAGGATGGAGCGTTCGACGTGGATGTTTCCGTGGTGGGACATTGCGTCGAGGAAGAAACGCTCGATACGGCCTTGGTGGAGGACGACTTGTTGGTAGTGAGAGATACCGGGGATGGTGTCTGGGATGCGGCCGGTGCGGTTGATCACACCATTCTCGTCAGGATTCTAACCGCCTTCGTTAGCCGTGCCTCGTCGTAAAAAGATGTGAAGATAGAGGGATAAGAGATACCCAGAAACAGATCTCCAACATATGATTACTCTCCTTCCAAACCCGATCCGCAAACCCGAAGGTCTCGAACACCTCGAGCGTACGACACTGCAATCCATCCGCTTGACCTGTAAAGATCTTGTCGGAGCGTTTGTCGATGATGCGACAGGTTAACCCTTGCTTCGAAAAACGGGCGAACCAGTTCGCTGCCATGAGGCCTGCGGGTCCGGCGCCGATGATGAGGACGTCGACGTTTGATTCTTTGACTGGGCCGGGCATATTGGGCATTGTTGGTAGTGGATGTCAGTTGGATGACTGGATATAGTCGCTCATTGGATGCTTATATAGGGATCGAACATGTCGAGGAATCAGGGTGGTCAAGTGGGGAGGTTGCCGTCCGTCCTTGTGATGGCGGAGCGTGTGGACGTTCGTTCTCGAGGTCGGAAACAGGCACCCGCGCAGGACCTCCTCTGATCTCCTCGAGAAAGCCAACACTGTTCAGTTGTGTTTGAAAGGCCAGGATAGCTCCAGAAAGTCGTCGAGGAGGATAAAATCGAAAGGATCTATACGCCTACTAGGTGCTGTCGTAGGTAACAACGGCAATGAGGGACAGGTTGCTGCTCAAAACGCGAGCGGACAGCGCCTGCGATTCTATCTCACGGGTTATCACTTCAATCACCTGACATGAATGGAAGGAGAATTCTGTCAAAGTTGCTCAGCTACATTTCCCGATCGAATGTGGGGCAGTGCTGGCCAACTACCGAGATGAACGGCAGGCTGCAGGCGGGGTACCGGTAACAAGCTTCTCCGCACAGGATATCTGAAGAGCACGGATATCGGACGGACAACGGATGCCGCGGATCAGGGGGAATTACTCAGCAGCCAGGGAACTTTATTCATCTCGCCCCTCATTCACAGCCCCTTCAGGTTCATAAGGACCCTTCTCCCTCCTACATCCTACGGTCAAATCGGTAAACACTGCCAATGCCTAACACCGAGATGCCCCACGACAACACCGACGCTTCCTTTGCCGCATTCACTGCTGGTGTACTCTCTTCAATTGGACCCGACACGCCTCCTCGCGCCCGCGAGATCCTTACATCGCTCATCAGGCACCTCCATGCCGTATGCCTCGAGACACGCCTCACCCACTCCGAATGGATGATGGCCTGCGATTTCGTGAACCGTACAGGGCAGATGTCAGACGAGAAACGCAATGAAGCGATTTTGGTCTGTGATGTGTTGGGAGTTGAGAGTTTGGTCGATGCACTGGCGGATGAGGCACCGCCTTCTCACTCCTCCTCTTCCACCAACGGTGAGAAGAAGAGCACACTCTCCGCCATCCTCGGCCCATTTTACCGCGAGAATTCGCCAAAGTACAAGAACGGTGCTTCGATCATCTTACCGGACTGGCTCCAATCCCTCGACCCACAAACCATCTCCTCCCTCGAAACAGCACGAATCAGCGGGCGCGTCCTGGATACCTCCAATAATCCAATCTGCAACACCACTCTTGAAGTTTGGCTTACAGCTCCAAACGGACTCTACGAGAACCAAGACCCCACACAGCCGGACATGAACCTCCGCGGGACCTTCACGACCGGTCAGGATGGCACATACTCCTTCATCGCACTCAAACCCACGTCCTACCCAATCCCATACGACGGACCCGCAGGCGACCTCTTACAGCTCATGGGCCGCTCCCCATGGCGCCCAGCACATGTTCATCTCAAAGTTGAAGCACCCGGTTTCAAAGGGTTGATTACCCAGATTTTCGATAGGGGGGATAAGTATGTCGAGACGGATTCGGTGTTTGCGGTTAAGAGTGATTTGATTGTGGATTTCTTGCCGGCGAGGGGGGAGACGGATGCGAAAGAGGGAGTGAAGTGGGAGTTGGAGTATGATATTGTGTTGGAGAAGGAGGGGGAGCAGAGTGGGAACGGGACCAGTGAGGCGACGGAGATGTGAGGGTGGATAGGTTATTCTTTTTGATAGTCGGAATGAATAGCAAAGTAGGTATATCTGCACCTGAGGCCTGCGGCCTGCGGCCTGGTGCTTGTTGCTTGTATTGACCATTTCCAAGTTCTTGGGCACGGACCCCATGCCTAGAGCTACACCAAGCAATACTCGGTAACCGTGGCAAACCCGAGAGCTCCAGTGCGGCGACTGAAGAAACAACACCCAATCAGCCCCAGCTCAGTGACTAAGTTCACTGAATCGCTCAAGCATTGACGTAGCAACCAAGGCTCAGGTGAACTTCGGCTGCAACGTATGTTGCTCCCAATGACATGCATCCCAAAGTAGCCCTGAAATGAGTATCCCTTAATGATGAGGTACCCGACGAAATCAATCCTTTTTACCCTGCAATCACAGTGCCATTCCCACAAGACACGGTTAAACTACGACGGATGCATACCGATAGCTACCTAAACCACACCTACTCCCCATCCTCCCTATCCCCAAACATCCCCCCAACCCCACCTCCCGACGGCGCCTTAACCTTCTTCACCCTCGAAATCCCACCAAGCTGCATTTTAACCCCAGCCTTTCCACCTAATCCCAGCTTAATACCACCCGGCTTGAGTCCGCCGAGTGACAACGTCGGTGTCGGTGCTGGCACCGGTACCGGTATTGGTGCAAAAGTGGGTGTAGGTTCGGCGGGTTCGTCGGATATCGACATAGGCTGCCCGTCCACATCGAGCTCTTCGTCGTCATCGACGTCGAGGTCGAGAGGTACTCCATCGATGTCATCGATGTCATCGTCGTCATCAAGATACAACGGCGCACCGTCAATGTCAATATCAGCGGTGTTCATCGGCCCACCATCCACATCGATCGACTCATCGCCATCAACGTTAACGTTGCCAGTAGATGATTGTGTCGGTACAGCGGCGATAGAGTGTGGAACCGACGCCCCACCAACAGTTTTCCACCCTCCCTGCTTCACCTTCACCTCCCCCTCCTTCCCATCCACTCCTTCCGCCACCTCCCGTTCTCCAGCACCGGTAGCGGCTTCCCGTTCTCCTTCCCCAACCTCCCCCCTCAACCACCCCCTGAACCCCCCCAACACCCCCGCCGAAAACATCATCCACCCCTCCCAAACCCCAACCACCCCCAAAACCCTCTCCTCCCACGTCTTCGCCTTAATCCGCCCCCCCTCGAACCCGCGATACACATCTCCCAAATACCCAAACACCCGACCCAGCGACTCCTCGAACGCGGCGCGGTAGCGCCAGGCGTCTTTGATGGGGGTGCTGGAGTTGTGGAGGATGTCACTCACCAAAAACAAGCGAGCCAATAAGACCCCCGGACTCGCTTTAGTGGAACGACACGCCGCACACAGCACCTCCACAACCTCCTCCGCCGCATCAGCTCTCCCTAAACAGTATGCCATAGCAGCAGCGATGGTACCACGACGGGACACATCGAGCCTGCGGACGAGCCATACCAATCTGCGTCTCGCTCTTGGTCCCAAGATTCCCGTGCGGGATGTCGCGATGGTGGCTTGGTCTTGATCGGCTTCGTCTTCGTCTTCGGTGTCGTTTTCGACGAGCGGAGGGGGTGGTCGCCATGGTGTGCCGTTTGCGAAGATTGGTTTTGGTGCATGATCGACAGCTTGGTGGCTCAGCGCGCTCCAAACCTTCCACCGATAGTACCGATGGAGGTCTCCTGCTTCTGAGTGGACGAGTGGTGATACGGGCCATAACCACGCATACTCGATATTCTCCCTCTCGCGGTGCATGAGGAGGGATTCGAACTCGGGTCCGTACTTCAGGACGTTTTCGACGACGGAGTGGATGCGTCGACGGACTTTGATATCACGTGGCTTCTCGACGCGGATTTCTAGTTTGCCTGGGGCTGTGGATGGTCGGTTCGTGGGTGGTGGAGGGACACGGGTGAATGCACCAGCACCACCACCTATCGTTGTTGGCGGTGGCCGGAACTGCAGCGCACTTTCCACCTCCGCTCCCTTGGCGCCGTAGTAGGACTCCTCAGTGTCTTGGGTTGCTGTCGGTGTCGTGGAGAGGGGTTGTGCGAAATACCCTTGTCCAAGATAGTATCCTTCCAAAAGTTTTCGTACTGCACTGATCGCTTTCGCTGTACCGAACTTGAGTTCGGCTTCCATACTCTCCCGAACATTAGTACCGAGGCTGCTCCCTCCCAGTGTAATCTTAACATCCTCCTCGACCTCATTCGCCAAGATCGCGCGAAGCGCCATTTCAGACATATTTGGTGGTAAATTTGCCACGACAAGAACATGCTCTGTAACTACATTGGATCTGGAGTCGGGGGTAGCGGTGCCGGGTGTGTGGCCATGCATATGAGGTGGAATGCGCTTTTGGTGTTTGTCCCGGGTGTCGTGGCCGCGTTTCAGTTCTTCGAGGAAGGTATCCAAGTTCCTCTTCTTTCCTTGAGGGATATTGTCTTGCTGTCCATGTCCAGATAATCGTCCAGCAGCTGCAGCTGGTGCGAAATGCCTCTTTCCTCCCCTCAGTCCCACAGGCGCCTGTCCCACGAACTCTTGCCCCCCTCTTTGATCCCCTTCGAATGATTTCACAAAATCATCATAAACAGCCCTGGCCTCCTCCTCATCCCTCCTCTTTTTCTCCTCTGCCTCTTTCTGTGCTTTCTCGAATGCGGAGAGTTTTGCGGGTGCGCCGTATTGGAAGAGGTTTACTTTGGTGTTGGGGATGACGGGTGCGGGTGGGAGTTGAGGGTTCGTTGAGGTTGAGCTGGGTATCGGAGGTCGTGGAGGGTTGGACATGCTGAACGGTCCAGTTGGGTGCTGTGCGACGTTTGGGTGTCCGACGCCGGCTGCATGACGGGCCGTGTAAATATCCCCGACCAACCCTACACCCGAACAAACAACAATGTCGACATCCAACAACGACGTACAAAGGGTACGTAGTCGAGCTGCCAGCCCTTTCCCTTTCTCCCTCCAGCTGCAGCTGACACCCAGCGTACCCACAGCGAGAACTCAAGACCCTCACAACCCTACGTGCGACACTAGAATCAATCCGCTTGCTTACGGAGGGTGTAGCGAAGGATTTGGGGACGGGAGAGAGGAATTATGAGGCTGTTAGGGAGGTTAACGAGAGGTGGGCCAAGGTTGTTGAGGGTGCGGCAGCTGGGAAGTGAATGGATCTGAATAATGGACTTGCGCTTCAATGGAGACGCCCGCGTTGACCAGCTCGAGCCTTGCCGGCGTCGAAACGAGCATACATACGGCCCGGGCATCTCGAGTTGGAGAACGCCCAACGTGCTGACGTGCCAGAGAATACAGCAATTGCAGCTGGTGGGCATACGACGCCATGGAGAGAGAAGCCTAGAATACGGAACGACGAGGCAGAAAGTAGAACTCGAAAAGTTTGTCATTGTATCAGCAACGCAACGCAACGCATCCCGATTCTCCCCTCCTTCCACTCCCATTATCTCCCTGCTACTACAACATTTATTCTTCTCCCCCACTCTACCACCCTACATATAATTCAACCTAAAAACATCATTGAAAACATAATAGCTACCCCCCTCCGGCACCAAATGGAAGACCTGCGAATACCTCTGCGTCGTCGTCTCATCATCAATCTGCAACTCTCCCGTGACCATGACCAGTACGCCGCCTGAAGAGGGGGAAGATGGTTGAGCGTCACGGGTTGAGATGCGGTGTTTGACCCGGGCGAAGGGGAGGGAGACTAGTTTTTGGACGATGGCTGAGGTGCCTTGGATTTGGGCGCCTTCGAAGGAGAGCATGGAGTGATCGCGCTGGGATCGTTACGTTAGTAACGATTCTTCAAGAGCGTTCATTCCCGACCGAGCAACTGCGACGGCCGTGGCTCGGGGAAGAGGGGGAAGCGGCTCGGAAGGGGAGGAGAAAAACGTACGTAGAGCGCAGTCAATTGCGACCTATCCGTGTCGAAGGTGTTGTAATAAAAGTCAGTGAACTGGACTATCCCAGACACCGACGCGTCAGCAACGGCGCCCCCTCAATTCAATAGAGCAAAGAGCGTACCGGCGAGGGCGTTAAAGTCAGTCATCTTGCAACTCAAAATTGTATGAGACGGTGTTTTTGGTGGAATTCGACGTACGTTGTGTATGGATGCCCCGTTACGCTGGGGGATGCAGGGTGGAGGACGATACCATCGATGACTGAGAAGCTTTAAATGACAAAGAATATGAATTTTCCCAAAAACATTCCACACCTATTGAACCTGCGCCCTCTGGCTTCGACTCACGGCCGCACTGGAGAACCCTGCATCCCCCCGACGTCACGCACGGTACCCGCCTCCGATCTTGCCCAGCCCCCACCAACAACAACCAGTTCAAACAGTTCAACCCATTGATCGGTCATATACTCAGTCAAGATGCCGGATCTTCAAGGAATGCTCGCACGGTCTTACTTCAACAAATTGGGCGAGGAGTTCAAGACGAGGAATTTCAGGTATGGCCCCCTCTCTTGGCGCGTCCACGCTATTGCTGTCAATTGGTGTAGGAAAGAGACAACGTACTGATTCGAGTTGGATCGTAGCATCTACGCACAATGGTTCGGTCTCTTGGACATCATCCTCTGCTTCGCCCTCGGAATCTCCAACCTCTTCCACACAACCCTCGTCATAATCATGTCCGCCCTCGCCCTCCTCTTCGGCTTTCTCCTCATCTTCATCGAAATCCCATTCCTCCTCCGCATCTGTCCCCTGTCCGAGAATTTTACCTCTTTTGTCAGGAGGTTCGGTGATAATAGGATGAGGTGTGTGGTTTATTTGGTGATGGCGGGGGTGGAGTGGGCGAGTCTGGCGTTTCAGGCGACGAGTTTGATTGTTGTTGCGTTGTTTTTGACGGTTACGGGGGCTTGTTATGGGTTTGCGGCGGTGAAGAGGCAGGAGTTTACGAGCAGCAAGATGCTTGGTGGTGGGGGTGTTGCACAGATGATTGTGTAAGCGCGAAAACGACCTCGAACTTCGATTTGGTCTTGAGAATTGGGCTTGCGGGGTGGAGATAATCGTGGTTGTTGGAGGGACGGATGTGTAGAAAGCGGTGGGAGAGCAATGATACCGTATGGACTGATATTCTGTATAATTATTGCCGGGAAAGTTCAATTGATACCTTATTGATTTCATGCCCAGTCCGGAACATATATCGACAAAAATCCCTGAAACTTCCTGATTGCTTGATTCACTCGTCACTTATCCGTAACGGTTACCTCTCCCACACTCCCCTCCGTCTCCCGAATAACCAACCCCTGGGCAACCAACAACGGCGTGGAGTCAAGCCAAACAGTATACTCCTTCATCTTCTTCTCCTCACTTCTCGGATCATCGAATACCATCCTCGCAGCCCACCCAACCGTGACTTCTTCACCAATATGCGGACCCTTGGCGAGTGTATACGTAACCTTCCCTCTAATCATCACCTCTTGCGGGAAGATATGTCCATCGCCCTCTCCGTACCCTGTCACGCCTGGCACCGTATAGATCCCTTCCGCAACATGATGACGTTTCGAGACGGGCGCCCACATCCCCTCCCGCATCTTGGTCAGAGCATCAGTCCCGGTGAATGATTTGAGCCCGAATGTTGCGGTAGCGGTGGGGGTGAAGTAGTTGACGTAGGCGGTGGTTCCGGCGGGGGAGGAGTCGTCGGAGGTTTTGTAGAAGGCGGTTATGAAGGATTCGAGGGGGGAGGCCATTGTGATTTGTCGTAGTAACAAGTATGGAGAGTCCTCGAGGAGGTTAGGGATCAGGTATGAGAGCAAGGGTCTACGTGCACGGATACATTCATCCTTCGATTGCGATTGAGCGGGGGGAGCGGAGATGCGCCGGGTTGTGTCGGCTCTGAGGTCGCGACTTCGGCAGTTGGATGGGGCCAACCCCCACACCCAAATTACCTGTCAGATATGTCCGGGCTCCTCCTCCGTAACTCCCAATCCAACCGCAATTCGCCAGAGCTGTCATCATGGCAGCACCTGCAGACTCCTGCTCCATCACCGCCCGTGCTCGCGAGATCTTCGCCTCGCTCTTCCCTCTCCTTCCTGCCGAGGCTGGACCGTTTGCAGAGTTCGTTACCATCACCACCTCCGACGCGAGAGACGGTGAACCAAGTCATGACTTCCCATACCTACCCTGTCCTTTTCCAGAGACCGAGCTCGCTTCCGCTTTGAAAGCGCTTGAGGCCACGATGTGTCTCCTCATCGCCTCTGACCGCTTCGGATCCGAGAAGGAAAGGAAAGCTATTATCGAAACCGAACGAGCGAGTTTGTTTCTGTTGATGACATACGTCTCCACCGTTGGTCGCCGAAACAAACACCATCCCCAAGTCCGCGAGTTCCTCAAAGACACTGATCTCCACCGCGCACAATCCAACATCTATCGCCGTTTATCCGCGAATATATACCCTACGAAGGATGGTAGGTACTTCCATCTCCATGGATCGTTGTTGTCGGATCCTTCGTTAGGGATGGTGGGGTTACCCCCGTATAAGGAGGAGTTGACGGCGTACGGGGATGTGGTGAAGGTTATCGGGGATGCGGTGAAAAAGTTTACGGCGGCGGAGTTGGAGAAGGGCGCAGAAGAACGGAAGCAGGCCGGTGCGATTTGTTTGACGATGGGGGAGTGGGCGGAGACGGAGCAGGGTCGTATCGCACATTCCTTGCCTCCATATGTCCTCGAACCCGTCCCTGCCGCCTCATCGTCAGGACCTACACCCTGGCCACAAACCGACAGCGATAAGCTTCTGTCAGGCATCAAAGTCCTCGAACTTTGCCGCATCATCGCCGGTCCCACCATCGGCCGAACCCTCGCCTCCTACGGCGCTTCCGTCCTCAAAATCACCTCACCCAATCTCTCCGACGTCCCCTTCTTCCAAGTCGACGGAAACGCCGGGAAGCGCTGCGCCGAGCTCGACCTAAAATCAGCCGAAGGCAGGAAGGTGTTCGAGGAGTTGGTGAAGGAGGCTGATGTCGTTGTCGATGGGTACAGATTGGGGGCGTTGGATAGGCTCGGCTATGGACCGGAGGGGTTGGGGAGGTTGTTGGAGGGGAGGGGGAGGGGGTTCGTTTATGTTAGGGAGAATTGTTATGGACATGTGGGACCTTGGGCTGAGCGTGCCGGATGGCAGCAAATCGCGGACGTCTCAACCGGCGTCGCCATCGCGATGGGGAAAGCACTCGGACTAGAGGGTAACGAACCCGTGGTCCCGCCGTTCCCGATGTCGGACTATGGCACGGGGAGTCTGGGGACGATTGCGGTGTTGCACGGATTATGGAATAGGAAGGTTCATGGAGGGAACTGGGTGGGGAGTACGAGTTTGGCGGCGTATGATACGTTGCTGACGAAACAAGGCGAATACCCACCCGCAGTTTTAGACAAGTTGTTCGACGCGCACAAGGCGTTGGGGTTGGAGTTGGTGTGTACGGATAACGTTGACGTCGTGTCGAAAAAGTCGCTGAAGACGTTGAAAGAGCTCGCGCCGTTTTTGTTTGATGAGGGGTATTTGATTGAGGTTCCGGGTTATGGGTTTGGGACGAAGGAGGCGAGGGCGAGTGGGAGGAGGGATGTGGTTGAGGAGTGTAAGGTTGTGAAGGGTACGGTCGAGTTTGTGGGTGTGGAGACGAATGGGGAGTTTGAGGAGGGCACGAGGGTTAATGGGTGGGATGAGGCAAGGTGGTGGTAAACCAATGCAGCGCATAACTGTGTATGTGTATGAGATGATTATATGATGCTTCTACGTCGTGACTGTCTCTACGACGCGTGTCTTCCTTCCCTGTCCTACTTCTTCGTCGGACCACCCTCACCCGTCCCAGGCTCCTGCTTCCCCTTCCTCCCCCGATGCCACGGCGCCGGCCCCGCAATATAAAGATACCAAACCGGCACCCCCACAAACAAACACCCCCCCACCAAATTCCCAATCGTCACGGGCACAACGCTCTTCCAAATATACTTCCCCACCGGAAACGGCTGTCCACCCTCCCCGACCATCATCGCCAACGGCAACAAAAAGAAATTGGCGACGACGTGTTCGAAGGCGAGAGAGATAAACGCGCCGATGAGGACGTAGATTACGACGAGTTTGGAGATGACGTCTTTAGACATTGAGGCGATGTAGATTGCGAGGCAGACGAGCCAGTTGCAGGAGATTGCTCTTAGGAATATTTGGTGCCAGCCAGGAGCGTTGACTTTGTTTCCGGCGGTGGTGATGAGGAAGTGTTTATATGGATCACCCAGTGCTGTGGCATCGGCGTAGTACACCAATATACCGGCGAAAAAGAGCGAGCCGGCGAGGTTTCCGATAAATGCAATGGTGAGGTTGAGGAGGAGGTCATAGAGGGTTGTGTGGCCTGCGAGGGTTGATACGGTGAATGTTACGCAGTTTCCGGTGAAGAGTTCGGTGCCGGTGATGACGATCACAAACAGTCCCACCGGGAAAACAAGACCCTCCAATAGCCTAACAATACCGGGATTCGTCGCGTTCAAACCAGCTGAGCCGCCGCCGACGGTGATGTAGAGGAGTCCACCGAACGACAAGTATACACCCGCGAGAAAGGCTTTGAGGAAGAGGTGGTCGATGGGTTCTTTGGCTTTTGCGGCGCCGAGGGAGACGAGGAGGTGAGCGGCTTCGGCGGGGGTGTAGGCGTCTACGATGGAGTGTTGGGGGTGGGGCTTGGAGGCGGCGAGGGTTTTGAGGATTTGGAGGGATTCGGGGTCGTGGGGGGAGAGGGTTGTTGGGGTTTGGGCGTGGGAGGAGCTCTGGCGAGGGTGACCATGGAGGGGTGTTGAGTCGTACGCGTGGGGAGCGTAGGTACTCGTTGAGGCGGCTGTGGGAGGAGGGATGGGCATTGTGGTGGTGGGAGCGGGTGGATCCGCTGGGTAGGCAGCAGTATCGTCCGTATGCCAGTACTGTTGCGCCGGAGCTGGAATGCTGCTCATCTTGATATACGGAAGCTTCCTCGTTGGACGCCGACAAAGATCAATGAAGGGTAACCCTGAGACTTTTCATCTTCAACGCGAATTTCGAATTTTCGCTGGAGGAGAGCGGAGGTGCTCGGCCGTGCGTCATCCTGCGTCATCGCTCGAAACTTGGCCGTGATTGCCGATTCAGCCTGTGCCAGTGAGGACGGCAACTGTAGCGAGTGTCACCCTAACCCTAAGTTTATGCCCATGTGTCAGGCATTGATCCGACAACAAAGAAGTGCCACCCCCATGCTGGAGCTTGTATGCGGTGTAACCATAATGGTGATGCCTGCCAGGTTGCGAAGGAAGGGCATGGTGTGTCCGATATTATTCCGGATTGGTTGGTGAACTTCTCCGCTTCCGATCTTGTGCTAATATTGCTGGACAGGGACAATCCCATTTATTGAAAGTACATCGCTCCTCCGACCGCCAGGGCTCCGACCAACAACAAGGCTCCGACCACCCGCCAGACCGCTGGTACCAAGGGTTAGGGTGGTCGGAGCCTTGTTGTTGGTCGGAGTTAGGGTTAGGGTTAGGGTTAGGGTTAGGGTTAGGGTTAGGGTTAGGGTTAGGGTTAGGGTTAGGGTTAGGGTTAGGGTTAGGGTTAGGGTTAGGGTTAGGGTTAGGGTTAGGGTTAGGGT